CCTGTAGACCCCATTCGTCACTCAACAGTTCATTTGTACTTGTCAGAAGCTTTTATTCCCTGTCTGCCTGTCACCTTTAAGTAAGACACATTTTGGGTGAGCATGATCCTGCAGTGAGCGTGCACTTTGACGGCCTTGCTTGTGAGACAAGTCCCGTTAGTTTTTGTGAAAAAGACTGTCACCCAAGGACCTATCCCTTAAGTGGCGAGGGGGTCTTAAAGGACCCCGTACAGGTCCTAGGCAGGTCCTAGGGCCCTACGGTAGGGCGTATGAGGCTACTCGCCACTTGAGGGATATTACACATTGTCAAACACAGCACCACCACCCCCCTCGCTCCCCGCTCCTGGCTGGATCGGTCACCCTAGGGCGCCGTGGTCTCAGATCCTTGTGGGTAATGAGGGTAGGAGCGTAGGATTGGGAATTACAACTGGGTCTGCATACCTATATAGAGTGCCGTGGTCGGAGTTCCCACTCTCACCCTCCTACCTATATCACCCACAACCCTTGGATATAGTAGAGTTCAAGAAACCGCGCCCACAGTCAGACCACCTACAGGGGGTTAGGGTTTTGTGAGCGAGGTACACTGTACAGGGGTTTCTCGCGAAAAATATTCGCCCCACACACGGAGGTAAACCCCAAACCCAGAACCTACCCCCTTTGACCCCTGAACCCTGAACCCTGAACCCTGAACCCTAAACCCTAAACCCTAAACTCTGAATCCTAAACACTAAATCCTAGACCCTAAACCCTGAATCCTGTACCCTGAACCCTAAAACCTAGGACCTAAACCCTAAACCCTGAACCCTGAACCCTAAACCCTGGACCCTGAACCCTGAACCCTGAACCCTGATCCCTGAACCCTGAACCCTGAACCCTGAATCCTACACCCCAAACCCTAAATCCTAACCCCAAACCCTAAATCCTAACCCCCAAATCTTCAACCCTTCAACCCTCAACCCTCAACCCTCAACCCTCAACCCTCAACTCTAAATCCTGAAACCTAAATCCCAAACCCTAAACCCTAAACCCTTAACCCTAAATCCTAAAACCTAGGCCCTATACCCTAAACCCTAAACCCTGAACCCTAAACCCTGAACCCTGAACCCTGAACCCTGAACCCTGAACCCTGAACCCTGAACCCTGAACCCTGAACCCTGAATCCTACACCCCAAACTCTAAATCCTAACCCCAAACCCTATATCCTAAACCCCAAACCTTCAACCCTTCAACCCCAACCCTCAACCCTCAACCCTAAACCCTAAACCCTAAACCCTGAACCCTAGAACCTCAAGCCTAAAACCTAAAGCCTCAAACCTAAACCCTAAACCTTAAACCCTGAACCCCAAACCTTACACCCTAAACCATGAACCCTAAACCCTAAACCCTGAATACTTAACCTTAAAACCCTAGACCTGAAACTTTAAACCTCAAGCGCGCCTGATCGGTTTGCTGATGCGGAGGGTGCGGGCTCCCCTGCCGCTTGGTTGAGCAAACGCGAAACATGAAACGCTACACGCTCCCTCAACCCCTCACCCTCAACCCTCATCCCTAAATCTCAAAACCTAAACCCCGAACCCTGAACCCTGAACCCTCAACCCTGAACCCTCAACCCTGAACCCTGAACCCTGAATCCTACACCCTAAACTCTAAATCTCAACCCCAAACCCTATATCCTAAACCCCAAACCTTCAACCCTTCAACCCTAAACCCTCAACCCTCAACCCGAACCTTCAAACCTCAACCCTCAACCCTAAAACCTCAAGCCTAAAGCCCAAAGCCTAAAGCCTAAACCCTAAACCTTGAACCCTGAACCCTAAACCCTACACCCTAAACCCTGAACCCTAAACCCTAAACCCTGAATACTTAACCCTCAAACCCTAGACCTTAAACTTTAACCCTCAAGCGCGCCTGAACGGTTTGCAGATGCGGAGGGTGCGGGCTCCCCTGCCGCTTGGTTGAGCAAAGGCGAAACATGAAACGCTACACGCTCCCTCAACCCCTAACTCTAAACCCTCAACCCTCAACCCTGAACCTTCAACCCTAAACCCTGAACCCTCAACCCTCAACCCTGAACCCTCAACCCTCAACCCTTAAACCCTGAACCCTAAACCCTAAACCCTGAATAC